GGTCTCCAGCCGAACGCGCGGGGCTGGGGGGGTAAATTTTACCCCCCCCCCCCTGTTATCTCCCGAACTAACGGTCCGATTTGGAAAATTCAAACGCCAATCGAAAGCTCTCATCACGAACTACTAAAAACATGTACTTAATTTAAAGTTTGAGGTCAAGGTCAAGGTCAGGTCAAGGGTACAAATTGCAAGTTTCTACAGTATCGGCCTTGCACCGTAGTTGCCGAAGAATGGAGTCATGGACTGAGACTGATCGCCCAAAACGTGTTCTTAGGCTACCAAGACAATATTCGTTGCATACAATATCATTCAGAGGTCAATGTCAGGTCAGGTCAGGTCAGGTCACCAAAAAACAAAATATAGAAAAGGGCATATGCGACACATGTTTTATGGGTCATTTACTCATAGAATTCAATAGGCACACTCAATAAGTGATATGGACCACCTCTGGATGAATTTCAGGTCGAGGTCAGGTCAAGGTCAGGTCAAGTGAGGTCAAATTTTGAAGTTGGTTGTTAAGGCCTAAAAAGGTGTCTATCTGATGCAGTTTTTCACGGCGAATCGAATGGTGCTATTTTTGTTTCCGTACGAGGTCTAGAACTTCCCAAAAAGGCATTTTTCAAAAAATTTGTGTGTCGTGACGTCATAAAATTTTGAATAACTCCCACATTTTTGAACTGATTCTTCTAAAATTTGGTATGTAGGTGCACATAGACCACTTCTCTGACATATATTCCGGTTTTTTCGATAGACTCAAAATTTTGGATTTTATAATGATTTTCCCAAAAAAGTCAGTTTTTTGAGAAAAAAAATTAGGCCAAAATCCAAAATTTTCAAAAAAACCGCGATGGCCATTTGATAGACAAAGTAAAATTACGTATAACCTTTTTTGTTACGTCTTGATTCCTTTAAAAATGAAGATGTTAGCGGCGTTTGAACTTTTGCCGTTTTTGAGGCGAAAATGACGAACATGACGTCACTAAAACGTCAATTTCTCAAAAATTTTCCGACAGATTTCGCTCAAATTTTCGGGGAACGTGTCAAATTGATGTGGGAAAAGGTACTTAAAGTTTGGTGGCGCTGTGCGCCGCCGTTTTTGAGATATCGCAAAAATTCGCGAGGGGGGGTAAAATTTAACCCCCCAGCCCCGCGCGGGTTAAGTCATTGACCTATGATGACCTCGGTACACTTTTTCAAGTTATGCATGCTTCTATGCTAGTTTTTTTGGAGCTGAGTTCGATTTTAGCAACCATTTGAACATTTAAGAAGTAGTTTTGGTGCCTTCGTAACATGTTACAAAGCTGTCAGAGGCGGTTGACACGTAGGTACTACGAATACCCGGAAGGACCCCTACTGGTTGACCTGACCTGACCTGACCTGACCTGAATGAACTTCAATATCAGAATATGGATTTTATTAGAACCATCCGGAGTCGGAGCTGGAGTCGGAGTCGGAGTCGATTTTTGAAGCCGGAGTCGGAGTCACCCTAAAATCCATCGACTCCGCAGCCCTGGGCCAGACCGTTGCACCTAGTGCGCTGAAAATTGCGCAACTTATAGAACAAGGATGGGCATTGGGCAATGTGCCTCTGAGGGGTCTCAGCTCGATCGGGCTGGTGGTGAGCACATGGCGCGTGCTCAAAAAGTGCAAATTCGCGTTATAGACTTTACATGTATAAATTGGCTTGCAAAATTAAGCGAAAATGGCTAAATTTGCCCGACACGGGTCTGGTCTCCGTGCAGTATCTCGGTAACCGTGGGTCCGATCGGCATGGGGAACACAGTATCGTGTATGAGAATCGAACGGGCTATCGAATAATCAGCGGTGCAGGGATGGCACGTGCCACGTGCACCCATGAGGGCACTTATGCTTGAAAAATTGACGTTTCGGACGTATTTTCAATTTTGGACTTAATGGTGACTGTCAGGCGGAGCGGGTTCAAACAAAGCCTGTTGGGTGCAGCAATTACGCGGGTATTGCTGCACAACCTGGTACGTTTGACAATTGAAAATGGCATAGTTGGAAATAACATCAAATTTTGTCCAATATCCAATCATAGCTTTTGCATGACGGGCAACAATATTCTTACAAATATAAATGTTTCAAACCTCTAAATAGTAATTCATCAATGGCTTTCATTTTTCAATAACCTACGTCAACCTATGTTATAATACACATTACACTTGAAATGTTTTATAGTAGATCGCATTGTTATCAGACACGAGCACCTCGATGCGATGGATATTTTTCCCAAACCAAAATGCTTAGCTGTCAAAAGGCAATCGACCGAAATGGATACATAACCCACGGATACGACCAACCAAACGCCCACCGATCGAAAAGACCCCTTATTCGCGTTGCGGAGCAAGCGGGTCACCCTAGCGGGCCCCATTCACCCGGGGCCCCGAGCCCTATCCACACGGGGGCCGAGTCCTATCCCCCCGGGGCCGGCCCCGTCCCCCCGGGGCCGGACCCGTCCACCCGGGGCCGGACCCATCCACCGGGGGGCCCGGGCCTGTTCTCCCAAGGGCCCGGGCCCGTTCTCCTGGGGGCCGGGCCCCGTCCACCCAGGGGGCTCGGGCTCGTTCTCCCGGGGCCCCGGACCCCATCCACCGGGGGCCCGGACCAGGGGTGTCGATTTTTCAAAATGGTTGGGGGTGCTCAACCCCTGCACCGGGTGAAAGATTGCAGCTTTGCCATGGGGCATAACCGAAACAAGGCATGGTTGGGTAGCACCATAAGGTGCTGATAATCCCGGGATTTCCACTAATATTTCCCAAAGGTTGAACGTTCTTCAAAATCATTCTGCTCGTCCTAGTACTTGGCTAATGGCTACCTCATTACATAAACATCTTTCCGAAAAAAACGCGTACATTTGCCGGCAGCTCGGCAGCAGCCCCGGCACTTCTGTAATAAGGTGACAAACCGGTGACCGCGATTAGCACCGGTGCAGCAGCCCCTGCGGTCCACAGGGGCGGACATTGCGCGGGAGGCAACGGTATAGCTACGAGGCTCTGGCGTTAATCAGACGATCACAATAATCGTTGAAAAAAATGACAGGTGATCGCATTTCGATATTTATGGGTTTACGATTTTCCTCAGTGGCGTAGCCAGGTGGGCCCGTGAGGCACATGCCCCCCCCCCCATCAGGTTCAGGGGCCCATCGAGTTATTCGGGCCTGAGGGGCCCTGCGGCGCCAATTGGCCGGTGAGGTTCCACGTTTGCTATATTTGGACTCAGAAGGGCCCCACAGGGCTCGTAAGAACACCTCATGGGCCCACAAGTACCAACATTAAGTTCTTCATAAGGGCCCCAAGCCAGCCTCTGAGGGCCACTTGCCGGCCTCTGGGGTCTTAACCGGCCTATAGGGGGCCAGCTCTAGGAGCTGCACACCCGCCTGTAACGGCCCCTTACCATTTCTCTGAGGGCCCCTAAAACGGCCCCTATAACGGCCCTATAACGGCGACTGTGAGGGCCCTCACCGGCGCCCCTGAGCGCCACACCGGCGTCTCTGAGGGCCCCACACCCCTAACTCTGAGGCCCTACACCAATGCCTTTAAAAACCCTACATGGGCGGTTCTGAGGGCCCTTGTCAGTTACCCGCGACCCTGACGGCCCCACACAGGTGACTCGGAGGGTCCCAGCGGCGTCTGAGCGCACCATGCCAGTCTCTGAGAACCCCACACCTCAAAAGGCTCCTGAAGGCACCGGTGACATCTTGATATCTTCTTGTCGGCCTATGAAGGGTCCGTTCCGTAACAGCAGCTCTGAGGGCCCCACGCGCGCCTGTGATGGCCCTAAACCACGTGTACGACGGACCCACACCAGTGTCTTTGCAACTTAACGTCTTTTTTTGCCCTTCTCGCCCGTAAACGGTGTTTTGCCACCTTCGCCCATGCAGGGGGGGGGGTTGGTGCGACCCCCCTGGCGTTTGAAAACGAAGCGTCGTAGAGCTTAGCGCAAAAGACCAACGGATTGCTCTCAACAAGATCTCGCGATTGGTGGTATATTTTTTGGTCCTAGGTCAACCTTTGACCTACTTATGACCGGTCAAAGGTCAAATTTTCGAAAAAAATCTAACTTTTTCATAATTCCGCGCCGATTGCGGCAAAACGGTAAGAGATATCGACTTGAAACCTTCACTATCGTGATCCTTGATCAATTCTCTATCGTTTGGTGTATATTTCGATGTCATAACTCTAAAAATGATGCGTTGGGAGCATCGGAAGTCTGCAAGGTCATTTGTGCATTGGGTCACGTCAGGCGTGTGACGTCACTGACCTGACCCTGGCCCAAAATAAACAACAAGAAACAAACGACGATGCCTGAAATGGATAGCAAATTCGAATTCAGGGCATCAAAATACCCCGAAAAGGCATACAAGTGCAAGAAGTCATTAGAGGTCAACAGAGGTCACTGACCTTACCTTGACCTTTAGTGACCTTCAAAATGTCAACGGACATTGTGTCAATGTCAAATCAGCCAGTTGTGATTCTAAAACAATCCATCAGTGCGTCAGGTCAGTCGGCATTTATACCAATGTGAAACAATCTTCAATTTAGCGTAAATCTGGCCGGAGGTTGTTCCCTTTATGACGTCATAACTCCGTGACCTGACATGACCTTGTAGTCGAGTGTATTGGGTGCTTCTCCTGCGACCGTTCCGACCACACTGCCAACCCTCTCGCACGACCCGGCGCCGCTACCACCGCGACTCGGCGCCCCCGTCGCCACACATGTAACAGGACACCCCCCTTGGACACATTTGTCAGTGTCGGCCAGACGGCGTCCCCCAGGCGCGTCTGGGCCACGCGGCGTCTCAGCAGGTCACACAGAGCTACACATAACTATAAACTACACGTCCCCCTGATCTTTAAGATCACATCTCAATGCATACACACAATATGACACAATGCACTAGGACACTAGGACACCTACATCAGACACTTGAGACACAAAATACGACACAATCAACGCGAAAGACAAAATACATTACAGCAGTTAGCCGATATTATTCGGTACTACTACCCCGAAGCGTTCTGGCGGAGCCCCCACTCTCGCGCTACGTCGCGGTTCAGTACTGTTCTGAGCCGGTGGCTCATCAGAGGTCGGCCGCGGCAGCTCCACCTCTACAGAGGGATCAGTCTCGCTGACTGCCGATGAATGCTCTGACGCACCGAGCGACAAAGCCGGCTCACTGTCGTCTTCGATTGGGGGATCGGCCGCCGCCAGCTGCCCCGTGTGCCGGTGGCGCACGCACCTAACGTGCCACGGAGCACCGTCAACTTCGATAAGATGGTCGGTCACGATGCGTGTGACGGTGCCAGGCCGGGAAACGTCAGTACAGCGGGTCGCGGGCCCGCGGCGCCGCACCCACACCAGGTCGCCCTCCCTAAAGCCGGCTCTCCGCTCAGAGTCTGCAGGGAGAGCCGGCGGCGGCCGGTCATCGTGTCCGCCGGCGCCGGTCACCGGCAGGTCACGCCCGACACGGCGGAACACGCCGGCGGCGGGAGCGCTCTCAGGCTGCGAGCCATCTCGGGGCGTCATATTGTAGCGATGAAGCGATTCAGCTATGGCACACCCTTTCCGAGCTGACATCACTTTAATCGTCCGGTGATGACGCTCCACGATGCCGTTCCCACCTGCCTCGTGTACCGCCCTGAACCGAAGGGTCACGCCCCACCTCGCCGCGAACGCTCCCATGCGGCGACCACGGAACTCAGTGGCGTTATCCAGAAGTAGTTCTGCTGGCGCCCCGTGCTCCAGAAAGACGGTTTCGAGATGAGCAGTGATCTCGGCCGCATCTGACCGGCGCAATCGCCGCCATATTCCATAGCGGGACGGACCACAGTCGACCACGGTCAGATAGTGATCGCCACGGTAGTGTGTGACATCGATGGCGAGACGCTCCCAGGTCAGTTGAACGCCCAGTGACCCGTGTCGCCAGCGGGTCGGTGCCGGGTCGATTGACTGACACACGTCACACGTCCGAATCACTGCGCGCACCGCTGGCTTAGTGGCCCACTGCTCTCCGTCACGCCGCAAATACCAGAGCGTGCGCCTGACACCCTGGTGTCCAATGTTCTCGTGCACCGCTCGAATTTTTGCAGCCGTGTCGGGGTGTGTGGACTCTCCGTCCGGCGCCACTGCAGCCGCCACCGGCACCGCGCCTGTCGCCGTTGCCGTCTCCTCCTCTGCCCTGCAGGCTCGAAGCCATTCCTTGGGCACGCGTGTCATCTCGTCCGCCGGATTTTCATCTGACTTGACCAGCTTGATGGTGATCGTCAACTGGAACTCAGTCACCAGCTCACGGATGATGTCCACCCGTCGGCGAATCAACATCTCGGCATGAGCTTTTGTCCGGAAACGCGACCGGCCGCTCAGTGCGTCACCGACCCACTTATGAACGGTCGCCGAGTCCGTGCGGAGATCGATCACTCTGATCCCCCACGCGATCGCCATGTTGACGCCGCTGAGCGCCGCGTCCAGCTCAGCCATATTTATATGCATGGCTGCCTTAGTCTCCGGCCGCAGCCAGCTCCCGTCCTCCACTACGCCGCCTTCCGGATCCTCCAGGACGACGCCCGAGGCGAGGCTGCTGGCGTCTGTCCATACGGTCAGCTTTTCACCCGTCAGCCTCCAGGGTCCACGGGCCGGGTCATTGGAGGTCACCCTTTCAGCCACTTGGCTGACTTGAGCGCGCAGGTCCGCGTCATCGATGGGGTCATCCCAGCCCTGACTGAGAGCATTAGCCCGTCTCTTTAGCCAAGCCGCAGCTGGACGCAGCCAGCCGGCCACTGGAAGGTGGGAAACCAGCTGGCCGCACCATGCAAACAGCGCCCTGCGCGTCATCACCTCTGGCGGTGCGCCGACGGGGTTGTCCCGGCGCCACTGCAGCTCTCCCGAGCGCGAACAGCTCACCTGCAGCCCCAGCATTCGAGCGCCGTCAGCCGGGCGCTGCGGTGGCTTGCAGACAAGGCCGTACCGGGAGAAGTGCTCTGCAACCTGCTCCGCGGAGATGACGTCCTCATTCACGAGAAGGTCGTCAACGTACGGGAGAACGCCCCGGCTGACCGCCTCGTTCTGCTCAAGTATAGCCTGCACCACAGATCTCATGATGTTCGGAGCTACATTCAGCCCATATGACATGCGCTGCAGGCAGTGAAGCTGACCGCGCACTCGTACGGTGTGGTATGGCCAAAGCCGTCTGTCCAGCCGGAGCTGCATGTAGGCCTTTCTCAGATCGAGCACTGCCAATCGTGAGCCGTGCCGCCGCCAGCGACGGAGTTGCTCTGCGCACACCTCTGCGTCTGCTGTATGGGCGGTGACGTGCCGTTGAGTTCGCGATAATCCAATACCGGCCGCACCTTGTCCTTGTTGGGCTGTTCAACCGCCATCAGAGGTATCAGACCACGCGCTGGGCCGTCCACTCGCTCGTCATATGGCTGCAGCCACCCCTCTCGAGCCCACAGTTCCAGCTCCTCGTCATAGGCTGGCCGTGCCGCGTCCGGCACTTTGTACTGGGCGACAGTATTGTGGAGGCGGTCCGGGCTCTCTCCGTCTGTCCACTTCCAGGCCACCGTCCACTCGCCACTGTCCGCCGAAAACCGGGCCGTAAAATCCACGGCGTCCACTGACAGGTCCCCACGGTCCACACCGGCGGCCGGCGCCGCCCCTCTCACCGGACCCGCCCCCGTCACGGGCGCCGTCCCTGCCGCGGCCTTGGCATTGGCCGCCACCACTGCCCCATTTGTCACCGGCCCTGCCGCCGCCGTCTCGCCCTGCACCGCGGCCGCCGTTCCCACGACTTTAGGGGCCACTGTACGCACAGCTGGCGTCGCCACCGCCACCGCCGCCGTCGCTGCTGGCGGCGCCGTCTCCGCCGGCACCACTGTCCCAGCAGCTGGCTTCGCCCCTGTCACCAGCGGCGGCACCGCCACCGCCGCCGTCGCTGCTGGCGCCGCTCCTGTCACCACCGTCGGCACCGCCGACGCCACCGCCGCCGTCACCGCCGGCGCCGCTGCTTTCACAGCCGGCACCGCCCCCGTCACCACTGTCGGCGCCACCGCCGCTGCCGCTGCCGGCACCACTGCCGCACCAAATTCCACGCCATTGGGCATCTTCACACACACTCCGCCCAGTGCCACAATACCAGACATACCGAGCACCACGTCCATGCCCAGCGGCCGATCGGGTACGACCAGGGCCGTCAGGCTCGCCCGGTTCTCCCGGTGCTGCACGGTGATCTCAGCGATGCCCAGACAGCGCAGCGTCCCGCCGTTCACGGTCATCATGTTGACCGGGCGCGGTGACCAGTCCGAGCAGGCTCCAGCATGAACGAGTGTGTCCGTGCAGCCCGTGTCCACTAGAGCACGGCACTTACGCCCGTCCACGCTGATCCACACGACCGGAAGTGTGCGCGCTACTGATTGGGAGACGGCGCTGGCGCTGACGCGGTCTCCCGACCGTTTGGGCACCTTCTTGCGATGTGACCCACCTGGTCACATACCCAACAGCGCGGCGGGGGGCGGCTGGCTCTGCGCTCCATCGGTTTACGGCGGCTCGTTCCGTCGGCCCGCTCACGGGTCGCAGCCGCCACCGTGGAGGTGCGCTCGTCGCTGAGCACTGCCCGCGCCCTCGTCAGAATACTGGCCAGGTCCAGCGCCTCTGCTCGAGTGCCGGCCCGAATCGCGCTGCGGACGGTGTCCGGCAGTCCAGCGATGAAGGCACAAGCGAGGGCCTTTTCCGATACTCCACCGTGCAGCGTGGCCAAACGGCGCAGGTCCGCCAGATAAACGTCGGCCGACTCGCCCGGCTGGAGACGGCGGCTGGCATACGCGTCGGAGGCCGCCAGCGGGTCCATGGCGAAGGCGTCGTACAGCGCGTCCCTGACGCTGTCCACGGAGCGGCGGCTCTCCTCTGACATCTGCAGCCAGACCGCGAAGGCACCGCCAGTCAGTCGTGCTGGCAGCACGAGCGCCAGATTCACCCCATGGTGCTTGCTCAACACCTCGGCACGGGTGAACCATTCCACTATGTCCGCACCGGTCCCTTCGCCACTGAACTCGGGTATTAGCCGAGGGTCGAAAGTGGCCCTTCCGCCGGACTCCGCTGCCGTCGGCGTCACACCAGCACTAGCACTCGCAGATGCCTTCACTTTAGGCATGGTGCCGAAATAGCTTGTAGTCGAGTGTATTGGGTGCTTCTCCTGCGACCGTTCCGACCACACTGCCAACCCTCTCGCACGACCCGGCGCCGCTACCACCGCGACTCGGCGCCCCCGTCGCCACACATGTAACAGGACACCCCCCTTGGACACATTTGTCAGTGTCGGCCAGACGGCGTCCCCCAGGCGCGTCTGGGCCACGCGGCGTCTCAGCAGGTCACACAGAGCTACACATAACTATAAACTACAGATCTTGACAAAAAAAAAAAAAATACCAAAAGTTGCGCAAAGGATGCCCCAAAAGGTACTGAAAATTTGAGCAGGCTATCTGAAACGGTTCGGCGTGTAGCTAAGAAAAACCTCAGGGGGGTTGCACCAACCCCCCCCCCCCCCCACATGGGCAAGGGTTAAAACTAACTTTTCTTTTCTTTACATCTTTATTTCATGCCTTGTAAATTGCGTAATTGTTTCATTTTTAGAAGTGAAAGACTGCAGAACAATTATTTTCCTCAAGCAGAGTTATTGGGAGTTATTGAGGGACAAAATCATTGGGGGGTGCCCGGAAAACCATTGGGGGTGCTCATTTGAGCATTGGGGGTGCTGCAGCACCCCCAAAGGTATACAAATCGACACCCATGGCCCGGACCCGTTCTCCCGGGGGCTCGGGGCTCGTTCTCCCGGGGGCCCGGAACCATCCGGCGGGGGACCCGGGCCCCATCCACCCGGGGGTCCGGGCCCCATCCGCCCGGGGGCAAATTTACAAACTGTATACACGTCTTCGGGGACCGAGCCGTGACGTCATGCCAATGGGCGGAGTGAAAGGCTGTAGCGGCGCTTGGCAGGTGACGTCAAGTGCAGGGGCGGAGCGGAAGACTCGCGGATCGTGGAGCTTACCTACTCGATGAGAAATTGTAATGTTGTGTTGAATATTTACAACTAGCTAAAACCCCTGATCTTGTTTGGGAAAATAGTTCATCCGAAAGACCAAGTTATACTTGCGATAGCATAATTGGTAAACACAGTTGCCTGCAAAGTTTGAATGTCAATCAGACCAATTGTCCACCAAGTGCCTGTGGCCAAGTGGCTATGATCCACGTATATCATCTAGAGGAGCCGAGTTCGATTCTCGGGGCGGCGAGTTTTTCTCATGAGCTCCGACGTCTAATTGAACGGTTTTACGTAAGCCTATAAGTAATATAAAGCAAACCCCTCTTATTGACGAACGCGGTTGGCGGCTCACACGCATGTTGCAGGTCAGAGTGGGTGGTATGAAACGACGCGTCTCGACCGTCTCCGTGTTGTTTGCTAGGTGTGCACGCTGTCAGTGCACGGGTTTTGTGCATTTCGCCGAAAATCATTCTGGATTCTAATGAAATCGGACGTCTAAATAGGCCGATTCGGCGGCGCTCTGAGCGGCAGACGGCTTAAAAGATCAACTTGAAACTTATACGCCCGTCTAGCGGCATCAATTTCGGCGAGGCACTTTTCGGATCTTCGGCATTTTGGAGCATAGTTAGAGATCCGAAAAGTGCCTCGCCAAAATCGATGCCTCTAGACGGGCGTATAAGTTTCAAGTTGATCTTTTAAGCCGTCTGCCGTTCAGAGCGCCGCCGAGTCGGCCTATTTAGACGTCCGACTTCATTAGAATCCAGAATGATTTTCGGCGAAATGCACAAAACCCGTGCACTGACAGCGTGCACACCTAGCAAACAACACGGAGACGGTCGAGACGCGTCGTTTCATACCACCCACTCTGACCTGCAACATGCGTGTGAGCCGCCAACCGTGTTCGTCAATAAGAGGGGTTTGCTTTATATTACTTATAGGCTTACGTAAAACCGTTCAATTAGACGTCGGAGCTCATGAGAAAAACTCGCCGCCCCGAGAATCGAACTCGGGTCCTCTAGGTGACATTCGAGGATCATAGCCACTTGGCCACAGGCGCTTGGTGGAGGATCGGTCTGATTGACATTCAAACTTTGCAGGCAACTGTGTTTACCAATTACACTATGCAACAGTCATTTTGTTCCTGAGTAACGACCGATTTTTTTGGACTCATTGGGTCCCATTATAACCGAAATGGGCATTTGTTTTGAGCTGAAAATGTTTTTTCCGGTTTTCAGAGACGATTTTCGATTTTTGGCCCCGAAATTCGGTTTTTGGCCCACTGTGTCCGGTGTAATTGAGTAATCGACTCGCGGTAACTTTCATCGCCCTTCCTATGCCACAAGCTTTCGAATGATATCCAGTTTTGCATATTTGCGTATAAAAATAACGTCATAAATCTATGTTAAAGTAAGAAAATATTGAAATTTTGTAAAAATTTGACATTTTTTTCGATTTCATTTCAAAATAGAGAAAAAAACTAAAGGCCCTATCCTAATTCTGAGCCCAGTTCCTTGAAGAGCATTCAATTTCCGTTCGGAAGGTACTATTTTAGTGCATTTTATCGGTTTACTGTGGCGTCCAGATTGAGTCACTTGAAAAACGGGCCCCCAGCCATTTCCATGACCATATGTGTTCAGTGCATGAAGAATCATTCTAACAAATGGAGGTACAGATCAAGATTCTGAGCGACAGGACTGCTCAAAAGTAAGTTCCTGCGTGTGACCCGAGGTCACAAGGGGTCAACAACATGACCTCAGTTGACCCCTCGTTGATCCTATGGCGTTAACATACGTTATCAGGTTAATGCTATGTGATATGACTTAGGATATGTGTTTAGGTTAACTCAATCTGGACGCCACAGGAATCCGATAAAATGCACTAAAAAGGTACCTTCCAAACGGAAATTGAATGCTCTTCAAGGAACTGGGCTCAGAATTTGGATAGGACCTTTAGTTTTTCCTCTATTTTGAAATGAAATCGAAAAAAAATGTCAAATTTTTACAAAATTTCAACATTTTCTTACTTTAACATAGATTTATGACGTTATTCTTGCACGCAAATA